TTTTAAATTAAATTAAATTAAATTTTAAATTACATGCATAGTCTATCTTTCATCCAGCATCTCTTCCCACTGAATCCTAATCCATTAGGTTTGTAGACAGTGTATCAGCTGACCTTCGCTTCTTCCATCAGAGGCTTTCATTGTGTTTTTGCATTTAGGGCGTGGGAGAGGGGAGGTGTTAGCAGGATGTCAATATTACTCCTTGAACTGAAAAGCAGTGACTGACTGGAAGGCAGTGTTTACAAATCCCACAGGCCAGTGGCTCCTACCAGAGCTGCACTGCAGCCAAGGTGGGCCCTGGGCAAAACCGAGTGGGGAGAGGAGCAGCTCTGGTTTCAGCAAGAGCATTCCAGAACAAAGCTTTGCCTTGTGTCCACGTTGTCACCAAACGTGTGAGACACGTATCGTTGCGGAAGTGACTCATGCGATGAAGTCAAGAAGAAAAGAATCTGATTTACCAAAGGAAACCTGCACTATCATTTGTAACAATTGTTGTTGTGTATCACGGAGCGGGAACTGACTGACCCAGTGCTGACCCTCTGGCCGGTTTTCAGAGGCAGTTAATGGCACAGGAGGAGATTGCCCATCCTCCCACAGAGCAGCTGGTGGATTTGAACCACGTGTCTTTGGGACTGCAGCGCAGCTTCTTATCACTAGGCCACTAGAGTGTTATTTGTAACAATTGACGTGTTTTATTTAGTAATGTCACCCCTCTGCCATGTTGTTAAACTGTGACAATTCTTTTTATAGGAAGGGAAATTGAGGTACAGAGAAAGTAACCCCCTATTTAGCCAGAATTAGTACCCAGTGGGTTTTGTTTGTTTTTTAAACTAGAAAACAGTGTTTGTATTTTTAATCAACTTAGGTTTCCCAGTCTGTGTCTTAGGTCACAGCCTGTCAGAGAGGCCACCCTTAGAATCTTGATGGCTAGCTGTAACAGGCCTGCTTCCTTAGGGAGCGCCGGCAGTCTAGTGGGTAAGGTGTTGCCCTGCCAACCCAAAGGCAAGCAGTTCTAATCCACCCGCTGCTCCTCCGGAGAGAGCTGAGCAATCTCCTTTCATGTCATTTATAGCCCCTGAAAGCACAGCGGAGGGTCAGCTATGAGTCGTTTCTGACCTACCTGGGAGCATTAGCTGTGGGACACCACGTACCAGCAACTTCTCTAAATCTGTGGGTGGTAGAATAAGTAAAAAGGGACAAGGAAAAACAAAACACTGAACCCCACAAACTCTGTCCTAGTTGTTGTTGGAAAGCTGCCTCCTAGTGACATCACCGACAGAGCAGAACTGGCGCCAGGATTTTCAAGGGTCGTAATCTTTACAGAAGCAAGCCACTAGTCACTGAAAGGGTTCAAACCACCATCCTTTCAGTCAGCTGCTAAATGAACCACAAATCCTTAGGGAGGAGGTAAAACTAGCTTTAGCAAGCTGCCACGTGAAAGAGTTGGGAACCATTCCCTTAACATACATTTGTGTTAAAACAGACTAAATGTACCTCAAAGCAAAGCTCTCAAGTCCTGGAGTCTGTGGCACTGAGGTTGGGAAAAGGGTGCTGTTTGTTCATATTGCCCTTGTTTCCAGAATCCAATCTTTCCCCAGAAGGCACTTCTGTGTCTGTACATGAAGCCGAGGACTTTAGGAAGCCCTAGGACCATAACATTGAACTTGGATGCATCACGGATGTGAAAAAATCCTGCAGACTTTGCACTGCATGAATAAAAGTCCTAATGAAACACAGGTCTAGGAGGAGAAGCCATAAACTTCCTATACTTTCAAGATCTCCTACTCACAAAAGCTCCCCGTGGAAGTTAAATCTGGCTGGATTCCTTTGTATAAACTCCATGGCATGTTTCACTAGCAGCTACCAATCTGTCGCGTTCGCACAGTGGTACCCGGCATCTATGACCACTCCCCCGTCACACTATTCACGACTCCATCCTTCTCTCCCACATGACAGAACAAAATAAGTCTGTAGAGAAACCAAAGGAGGGGGGCGCTTCATAACATAGTTTGTTTATGCAAATACGGGTTCAGCTACAAGAACTTTCTACCGAGCGTTTATTTGCACACACAAACCCGTATCTATGTCATCCAGCTGGGGAAGGACCTTAATAAGCTCATTCAACTTAGTGGAGAATGGATGATATTTTTAGCACATTTCGAAGCAGGCTGGCTCAATTCAGGGATTCCGTTAACAGATTCTTTCACACTAACAGTGGAGTCTTCTAAGACCCTGGAAGAATGATACTGCCCAAAGTGATCTCTCTTTTGGTCTTTCTTCCCAAGGACATTGAGATACGACTTGCTCCGCCTTCATTCATTGCTTTTTGTTTGTGTGAGCATCTGTTTGGGTTCGGGATCAGCAGAATTAGTATTAAGAATGGATGGAACTGACCGAGGAATGATAAAATTGTTACTCTGAGGTTAGAAGAGCATTTCCCAAAGTGAAAGAAGCATACTTTTAGGAAATTCAGAAATAGAAGATTAAATTGTATTTGCATAGTGAAAACATCTGTCCCTTCTTCATTATCCACTAACCCTTCTGATGGCAGTCAGGACAAAGTCTCATCTGGGCTGACATAGGTCACTCCTCTTTTTAATAGAGACAGTGGACATCAGACCCAGAGCCTGACACGTGAGGTAGCAAGTATGTAATATACTTACTCTTACTCCTCATTTATTTTGAATAGAAATGATTAATAGCTAAAAAAAGTATTAGCTTTGAAAGTATTTATTTGCAATTCAGCACATTGATGAACTCAAATCTTCACTTAAGTAAAAGATCATTTTTAATTCCAATCACAAATAAAATCTCAAGTGCTCACACAGCAGCATCAAATGGCCCTTGTTTTCAGATGTAACACTTGTTTTTATTACTACTTATGACTCTCTTTCTCTGCAAAATGATTATGGATTTCCACGTACATCATAATATGAAATTTCCTTTCAAGGTAAATTTAATGAATAACTGAGTCAATTAAAGAAAAGTAACATGGACATAATAGTGTATCTCAAAAACATGGTGAAAGCAGTATGCAAACCACTGACATTTGGGAAACACCGAGTTAGAAGGACCCTGTCAGAACCCTGGTCCACACTAGGGAGAAGCCATTCTGAATTGTAAAGGATGTTGGGGACTTACAAAGTCACTGGAATTTGACTTGCATCACCTCTGCCAGGTGCCATGGGGTCGATTCTGACTGTGGTGACTTGACGTGTGTCAGGGTAGAACCGTTCTCCACCGGGTTCTCAGAGGTAGATTTTCTGAATGTAAACATCAAGCCTTTCTTCCAAAGTGGTAAGTGGACTTGAACTTCCCACCTTTGGTTAGCAATAGGGTGCATGAACTATTGGCACCTTCATTACCTCGGATTCCCCTTTAATGGGGTCAACAGGCACCTACGGCTCTTTCTTCACTGAAGCAGAGAGGTGGATGACCGAGCACGTGTATCATGTGTTGAAGACCAGGGTTCTTTCCTCCCCTGTTAGTACGTACACCACCATACAGACCTTGTGTCTAAAGAACTTTCTAAAGGCAGCTCCTAGCCTGGGACTATCCACGCGCTTTTTCTTGGCGCCTTTTGTCTGCATCTCTGACGTCTTCTGACCAGCTTGCCCATCACAGATAGTCTCTGCTTTGGATGCCTTTTGACCAACAGCAGTCACACCTTAGAACTTTGTTTTAGAACCAAACAAATTCCCTCCCCCCCTCCCCGTTTCGTAACACACATGTTTGTTAATTAACAATTTTCATAGCCTCAAAGCATAAGACACCAATAAAAAAGATTCATCTTTTGTAAACTTTCAAAGACAATTTGCTAGTGCCCACTTCAGCAGCACATATACTAAAATGAAATGATACAGAGAAGATTAGCATGGCCCCTGCACAAAGACACTTGGCTAAAGAGAATATTCAGTCAATTTCAGGTAAACATAGATTTTCAACAGAGTGACCTACTTAAATGACCCAGATTAACCCGACTCCATTTGCTCAAGATGATAACGGAACACTTAAGCTGTGTCTACGTGCCATAAATTATACAGCAGAAACTGGGGTTGGGGAGGGATGTGGTCACCGACTTGGTAGTTTTCAATATCTAAATGCCTTTGTGAATGAGAAAGAAAAGATACTTAAAGAGTAATGATTTATTTTTACAGCCTGGAGTCCAGACAACTGCTGCTGTGGAATGCCTTTCATTCTCAGCTGATCTCCTGTTATTAAATGTAAGACACTTCGTGGGACGCAGCCCCGCTGGCAAAAATGTCACCTGCCTTCTGGAAGGGCAGATCTCCCAGGAAGTTGCCAGTGAACAGGATCCCTGAGCCAGAGTAGGAAGGGGTCAGAGTGGGCCAAAATTCACCCAGGGGTGGATAGGAAGATGGATCAATTATGGAGACATTCCAAACCCCCCAAAAAACTAAGAACTTGTAGGGAAAAGATAGAAACAGGCAAGGTGTGGAACCAGGTTTGTAGACAAGAGCTCTGGTTGTGGATGTGGTGGTAACCCACAGTCACACCTTCTCTGGAGTGTCAGCCTCACCTTGTCTATGCAAAGTGCATTCAACTGGAACATTCTGGGTCTTGGTGCAAGAGGAGAGGAACGGAGTATCCGGTCATGTGGGTGCACACAGGCACACCCACAAATCCACTTCTGCTACAGTCTATTATGCTACCACGTGACTTGAGACAGGACCCAATGAGAAACATTCTGACTCAATCATTCATTGAGCTTGTTCCTGGCTGCCTTGTAGCTGATGGATATTTTTATAGGAAAATGGCATTAGAAGACTAGGATTTATATTTCAAAGGCAGATGAACACCCTATTGGGCCAATCAATACAGAACAAATGTCTGTGCGGTGAAACTGTGAGAGGTGAACTCAACAGGGAGGTTTCCTTGCTCTCTGTCTCACAAGTTTCCACCTTTGGAAACAGATTTGACTTAGGTTTTCAGTTGCTTAGTGAAGTGGGGAAAAATATCTGCAGTTTCCTTCCCTGACAGGTACATTTCCCGCTCTGACATTAATTATATTCAAGATTTCACTGTAATTTCTCCACCATGTTTGACTCTCATGGTCACAGAAGTAAGGATCATCTAAGTTAGGACCAGGTTCTACGGTTTATAAGTTACGGCCACACTTCCTCTCAACCCTGGGGTTGGGCAGGTAGCATTTTGTTTTGTTTTTAAATCGCACCCATTTTACAGATGCATTCACTTGGGTTCCAACAGGTTATAATCACATAGCTATGAATTTACAGAACTGGTGCTTAAATATAGGTCATCACAATCAAAGCCTAGACTCTTTTTCACATCAATTTAGCTGCTTCTGCAAATATGGCTAGCAGATGTATGTGTCTCGCCACATCCTTGATTTAGTCCCAAGTGCCTTTCAAAAGCATTTTTGCTTATGAAAAGAAGGACGGGGAACACTTAGCTGTCACCAAGTGAAACTTTGCACACGGTGCCCGTGAAATTGAAAGCACGTGTTCCATCAGGGAGCACGGGTCTTCTCACGTGTCAAGGGACATCTCTAGAAAGCAGTGGTTCCAAATGTGATTTATTCTGAGGAAAACTGGCTGCATTCCTAGGATGATAGTGGGGTGGGGTTCGGGGTAATTGATGTTTCCAGAGAATCCTAAGTTTTACACGTCTCCCTTCGTTTGGCAAATTTCCAGAGGAGACAGCTTTATTTCATCAAACAACTCCATTTGCACTTTTTCAAATGATGTGGAAGACACGGAGAAAACATTGCACCTTTCTTCTATTTTAATTCAAGTCTCATCTCCTTCTCATTCCCAAGGCTGATTTCCAGAGCTACAGCTCTTGGATCTCTCTACATATAACTAAGAATAAGGATAAGATAGAGTTACCAGTTTTCTTTTTCTTTAGTTATTGTGATAATATTTAGGCAAGATTTATCTCCCAAGCTTCCTGCTGGGGTTTTGATTAAAATACCATTAACATCAAGGAAACATTGCAAATACAATCAAACAGTAATGTTAAATCTCTAAGTAAGGAGATATGTAAAATTCAAGAAATAAGTAAACGGCCAAAAACTAAAATTCCAATTCTTCACACAAACACAATAGATAACACACTTCACTTACCACTTCTTCAGGGTCTTTTTTTGTTTCCGCTTTGTTAGATGAAACCTTGAAAGTTTTGGGGGAAAAAATCTTAGTTAAAAATCTTAATTCTTTTAGGAGAGATATAAGTTCATATATAGTTTACTATACAAATAAAGTACAAAATGACAAGTCCTTACAGATTGGTAAAAATTCAAGCATGTTGGGGAATATCTAGATTTTATAAGAAAGCAGGTTTTATACATTCACCAAGAATTTTATCACATCCAAAATTATCCCTTTGGAAGGTCAGTCATATAATTTTCCAACAATTTTATCATGGCTCCAAACAAATGTTCACATATTTAGTATATATAAAACATGGTACTGATTTTTGTTGTTGTTGTTTTCTTTTGCCTTTTGACAATGTTGATATTTGAGAATAGCTCAAACACATTTGGGGCTGTCTTTGTAATTACTGGAAGCAGGAGTGGTATCCACTTCCTAAACAACATGCCTCTGGAAACTGTATGAACTTTGAGGAGCGACGGTAGTTATAGAAAGGCTTTCGATCTTTCGGTAATAGGGTTACTATGAGTCCTGCTTAGTTTGATGACAATCAAAACCAATAACATGTAGTTGTGGACTTATGCATGCTATCCTTTCAGAGTGCATGGCTTGCATCAGATCCTGGACTTTGAAGAGTCAATGATAAGAAAGCTAAGATTAAAATGGTAAACTCAGATGCAGAGATACATGATGTCTAGAAGGTCTTTTATTTGCCATTTATGTCACAAAACTGCTTTGACAGGTCCCTAATGAGGAATGTTCCAATTATTTTTTATCACCAAGGAACACAAAACACTATCCAGTTACATGCGTATTCCATGATCATACAAACCATGTTATGTAATGTGGACAACCACTGTTTATATCACGGCTCCCAGCTCCAGGGACTCATTCACTGAAACCCATCCACCGTTGTTGAGTCAATTACAACTTATAGAGACTCAAGAGGACAGAGACCCGCCCCGTGAAGAGTTTCCGAGTCGGTAATTCTTTGTAGCAATACACTGCCTCATCTTTCTCTCATGGATCATCTGATGGGTTCCGACTGTGTCATTTTCTAATAGCAGACCAATTTTTCACCCATGGTGCCAGCAGGGCTCCTTTATATGCTGAAAGTCTGATACAAAACATTCTCGTCCCTCTTCTCCAATGTCACAGCTTGCAGCATGACACTAATCCACACAATACAAGAACATTCAAATATGCCTTTTCATTAGCATAATTTAAAAAAAAAAGAGCACCAGCTACTTACCAGAGTTTTAAAGAAACTCATGATGGAATTATTACTCTCTGTTGTATCTGTGTTCTGGGGGTTCTCCGCTGCAATCTCCACTTCTTCTGGGACCTCTGGGACAGAACTCAAAGCTGTGATTCCTTCTTGCTTGTTCTCCTTACTGTCAACTAGGTCCTAGAAGCAAAACAGAATTTTCACAGTTGCAGCTTGTTGAGTGTGGACTCTCAAAGTCTCATTTTTGCTTCACACCCCTTCCTCCTGTACCTCTTCATTCCAGCCATTCTTCATCTGCCCACGGACGTGCGGAACAATCAGGAGTTTATGAGAAGTACTCTTCCTTCCCCACCCCCTCTTCCTAACATATTCAGCATTTACAGCCTTTTGGAGGGACATTGTTTAGAGCCAGAGGGTAACAAGCCCAGAAGTGCCTGCTGCATTCCAAACAAAAACTCCTTTCTCCTAATCCTGCAAAGACATTGTATAAGGCGCTAATACTGTCCACTGCTGTGGTCTCCTTGTCCAGTGATTTGAGCACAATCCTCAGAGATGTCCCTGTTTATTTTCCCACAATACCCACAGGGGTGAAGTACAGCAACTGACAAAAGCTGTGAGTGCTTTAAAATAATAATATTTCTGTTTTCCGGACCTGAGAGTTACTTGGTGTGAGGAACATGAAATGGAGACTCATTCTCTCTTTTAACCGTATTCTGAATCTGCTCTCCTTTCCTTATCTCTGCCCTCATGAATGGACCATCTCTCATGTCCTATGCTTGGACCCATGTGTCCCTTCTACTCATTCTTTCATTCATCAGATCCCATCCTCACACCATTTTGCCTCCACCATTGGTTCCTCATTGCCCTTAGGATCAAGTCTAAATTTCAGTTCAAGATCTCCATAGCATTACAATGAGAAGCCAGGACAGGGCTAGATATGGATCAAATGAACCAAAACACTCTAAGTGCTAAGTTAGGAAAGGGCAAAGTCTAGAACTGAGAAGTTAATGAGGAAGAAGAGCTTTAGGTGGGTGGTTAGAGTTGACTTCTCCAAAGAGAAAATATTTAACACCTGAAGGATGTATGGAGATTATCCAAGGGCATAGAGAGAGGTGTTGAATATGCAGACAGAAAGCTCTGAGTTTGGAAACAGTATACAGTATATGTGAGAAACTGAAAAGTGTCCAGAGACAATGGCATAAAGGAGAGAATGTGTCACAGACAAAAGTTCCATCGTATCTTTACCATAGTGGAAGGCAGGTGAAACGGTACTGTAGACTGGAGGAAAGACAAAACTGGACCCCTGGGGACCTCCCTCAATCTGGCTCTGCATGGCAACAGCATGAGCAACTGAAGGTGGCTACCCAGTCCTGCGTCATCCCCACAATTAACTGTGTGTTCAAACCACCAACCTTCCGGATAGCAGCCCAACTCTTAACCTACCACACCCTCTTGCTCCCTGCCCACAGCTGAGGAACAGGTAAGTCTTTTAATTTGCCCTCAAAAAATATTTCTGGCATCAACTTTTTGGAACTACGGATATTTTTGTGCAGAAGAATTTCAGTTAAAAAGTTGAAGAAATAGTTTTAAATAGGTTAAATCATTTAAACCACCAAGGGAATAATTGTTATGAAGATTAGTCACTGTGAAAATGTTAGGAAGTAAATGGTGATTAAGGAATATTCTGCTAGGCTAAGTGAGGGTTTTGTGTGGGAATGGATCACTCAGGCTCATCTATGCATTTAGCCGTCTCCACTTAGTATTTGTATCGGTCTTTATAAGTGAGTACAAGCTGTGCAGAGATGATAGAGAGTTGGTCAAGGCTCTGAAGCCCCCAAGCCCTCTGCTGTTGAGCCAGTTATGACCCTCAGTTGCTTTACAAAAGGGAGCAGAACTAGCTCATAGAGTTTCTAAGGCTGAATTCTTTATGGAAGCAGTTCAACTCATAGTGACCTTATGAACAGCAGATCTGAACCCTGTCCTGTCCTGTGCAAAGTCACAATCTCTGACACCTTCAAGCCCATTGCTGCAGGCACTGTGTCAACCCATCTGTCATGGGTCTTCCTGTCCTTCACCAACCCGCCACCTTTCCAAGCATGATGTTCTTCCCCAAGGTATCACCTCTGGTACCAACACGTCAAAAGTACGTGAGACAAAGCTTTATCATCTTTGTCTCCAAGGAGCACCTTGGAGACAAGGTGATTAGAAAGGTGAGCCATGAAGGTGGCTTGGAGAGTTAGAAGATTAAAAGGTGATTTGACCCTTAGTCACCCTTCAGTCTTTTAATTCTCTAAACCACTTTCATGGTTCAACTTTCACTCAAACAAGAGCTAGGCCAACAAGGTTAACATTAATAGCAGAAGGCGTATGCACCCCTTAGAACAAACCACCGTAGAAAAATCAAAGTCTGCGTTTGTCCAGGGATAAACTCAGAATCAAGAAGGAAGAGAAAGGAGGACTGATAGAAATGTCCAACCAAGGGAGGAAGTGGGAAGAAGGCCATTAGATTGTGAGGACTGGGGTCGATGTCACACAGCAGAATGTATGTGAAATGTGCAACTGAAAACCAAATCCTTGCAAACATTCACCCAAATTACACAAAAAAGAAGAAAAAGAAAATAAAATGAAAAGCTCATATGGGCAACCAATTTCATTTAAAAAAAACAAAAAACATTCAGAGGGCCAAGGTTACCTCGAGCGGGGATAGATTCCAGCTTGCAGGCCACAGCCGGCTTGAGGCCTCTGCCTTAAATGTGGTTTGTAGAATGACCTTTGTCCTCAACTCAAATATGTTTCTGCTTTTCTCATCAGGCACTTGGTGAACAGAAATGTCAGACAGCAGCAGAAATGTTTCCAGGAAATAGCTGGAAACCTCGCTTAAGCAAACAGGTGCTCACGGCTTCAGCTTGTTTTCTCCTCAGAGTTAATAAGAAGCTTATATATACATTTCCTGTCTGTTGGTTTCAAAGAGCAAAAAGTTGGGAACACAAAGTTAAGTGCTCGTAATTTGTCATCTAAAGAAATACTGCCTCTTTATAGTTTACAATAAAATCCACACATGGAGTGCCTGGTACTGTCCCTCAAGTGGAAATTGTGAATTAGATTCCAGCTTCCTTTCAGACCCTACAGAGGGGTCGACGGTCCTACAATGTCAACACAAAGATGTGAGGAAGACCAGGGTGGAAAGAGCAATGGTCTGGAATCACTTGTGATGGCCGTGAGCCCACCTAGACTTCCTTGCTGATCGTCCATCACCGTTTTCATTTTACATCTCCAGCCCAAGCATTAGGGCCTGAGTTCAGTTTAACCCACAGACGTTCACCTGAAAAACATTGACCTATACAGGCACCCATTATGCTACTATCTTCCATCTGCTTGAAATCCAGTCCACACGCTGTTCAGGATGAAAGAGAATGCCGCTTCCTCTCTCACTTGAATGTCACCATAGCACAACAATATCATTCGCCAACCAACAGAGGCCTGTAGACAATTAGGATTTGTTATTCTTTTAACATCACAGTCACCTGCTCTAAGAGTCACCTTTGTAAGAGAGAAGAAAAATGGGTATGATTAATTCTTTTTCAAGTTTATTTTATTTTTTGTTTACTTTGCAGAGAATACCCACTGTATATTGTATACAACCCTGCTTGCTGAAACTGAGGAGGACCTGAAACGCTTGCTGCAGAGAGTCAAGGACTGCAGCCTTCAGTATGGATTGAAGCTTAATGTCAAGAAGACAAAGATTCTCACCACTGGACCAATTGGTAGAATCAGGATGGATGGTGAAGAGATTGAGATTCTTAAGAACTTTAGTCTGCTTGGCTACACGGTCAACAGTCTTGGCACCAGTAGCGAGGAAATAAAAAAACGTATTGCGATGGGAAAGTCTGCTGTTAAGGACCTCTCCAGGGTAATGAAGAGCAATGGTGTCACTCTGGAGACTAAGGTGCATCTGATACAGGCCATGGTCTTTGCAATCACTTGTTATGCATCACAGAGTTGGACAATGACTGCGGAGGATAGAAGGAGACTTTGAACTGTGGTGCTGGAGAAGAGTATAGAATGTACCATGGACTGCCAAGAAAACAAATAGATTCATCCTGGAAAGGGTTAAACCAGGCTGCTCCTTGGAGGCAAGGATTCTGGGGCTTCGTCTGACATACTTTGGACATGTTGTAAGGAGAGACAGGTCCTTGGAGAGGGACATCATGCTGGGTAGAGTAGAGGGACAGTGCAGGAGGGGAAGACCCTCTATGAAGTGAATTGATTCAGTGACTGGGGTAATTGGGATGGATGTGTCAGGGACAGTGCGATTGGCCCAGGACAGAGCGGAGTTTAGGGCTGTTGTACATAGGGTCGCTATGAGTCACAAGTGACGTGATGGCACATAACAACAACAACAACAACAACAACAACAACATATTGTATATGAATTCAACAATTTCCACACATGCCATTCAATGATGCTGGTTACATTCTTCCAGTTGTGGGACAATTTTCACATTCCTGTCCTGAGCTCTTTCTTCTCCATTAACGTAACTGGCTGGCCTGTAAGTTTCTTCTCTCACCTTTCAATCTTCTCTTGCCAATTGGATCCCACATAGGTAGACATCCAAAGATTCTCACCACTGGGCCGATTGGCAGCATCAGGATGGATGGTGAAGAGATTGAGATAGTTAACAGTTTCAGTTTGCTTGGCTCCACAGTCAATGCTCTTGGTACCAGCAGCCAGGAAATCAAGAGACAAATTGCATTGGGAAAGTCAGCTGTCAGGGATCTCTCCTGAGTACTGAAGAGCAACGACATCAGGCTGGAGACTAAGGTGCGCCTGATCTGGGCTATAGTCTTTGCAATTACGTTCTATGCATTGGAGAGTTGGACAGTGACTAGGGATGATAGAAAGAAAACTGATGCCTTTGAGCTGTGGTGCTGGAGAAGAGTGTTGAATATACCATGGACTGCTAGGAGAACAAACAGGTTTGTCTTGGAGAGAGTGAAGCCGGAATTCTTCTTGGAATCAAGGATTCTGAAGCTTTGTCTGACAT